TAACTACAATTTTTTAAACGGTGTTTATGTTTTAATACGTTTTAACCACAATTTTAAATTTTAAATAACAGTTTAAAACATTTTTCCTGCCATTCCAATAGACTTTTTTTTTTTTTTTTTTTTTTTTTATATATTATTTAAGGAAAATTTTTGACAATGACGGCATATAATAGCTATTTCATTTCTCTGATTCAGTAAATTTTTATTTTTTATAAACTTAGTAATATATAGTTTCTCTTGTATACATAGAGGACACGGGTCGTTTAATGATCTACAAATTCTAGCTCTTCTTATTAACTTCCATTTTACTGTAGGTGTTTTATTTGATTCTTTTAGATGCCAGAAATATTTTGAGAGAGATGTTTGATTTTTATATTTATTTATTCTAAATGAAGTTTGATGTTGGTTGAATCTTTTTTTTGAATTCATGGCTAGTGCAACCTATATATATTTTTATGTTATCAGGATTTTCAATCGAAGAGATATTGCATTGGTATACTAATGATTCAGTGCAACATTTATTTTGTAGTGGGCAATTTTGAGGGTTTCGACAATTACATAGTTTTTGTTTATTTACATCAGTTTTTATCTTAATTTTTCTATTGTCTAAATTTTTTTGGTTTTGGTATAAGTGTTTATTTAAGATATTAGCATTATGGTTCTTAATGATTTTTTCTAAGTTCTTTGTACAGCTATAACTTAATTTTAGTGTGTTTTTTATTGAAAATAGTACTTAGTTTATTTTCACAAGGGAAATGCTTGACTATTAATGTGAGGAATTTATGTCCTAATCTGTTCTTTACCATTTGGTTATATGGGGAGTATACCAAATAATTTTTCTACATCTGTTTTTTCTATGTTTTCCATTTTCATTTTTTTATATACGCTAGTTTTGGGTTTTTGTAGCCACTATCTTTTAGAGCCTTATTATAGCCATTGATATGCTCATCAAAAAATCTTGTTATTAGCTGAATTTGTACTAATTCGTTTACTTATAGATAACGGTATATGTTTAATTATAGATGGGGGTGATTTGATTTAGGATGTATATATAAAGGATTGGTGTTGGGTTTTTTATAAGGTGTGTATGTATTTTTTTTAGATCTAAAGTTATATCTAGGAAGTCTACTTTTTTAATTTAGTACTAACTGTAATTTTTAAGCCCATGCTTTTAAATTCTTTATATAATAACTTTCTAATTCTATCTATTTTGAAGTTCGTTGAGTTTCTAATGACCATTAGCCCATCGTCCCTGTACAAACCAATATCATCTGTATTAATTTCATAGTGTGCTGTAAGATTGTATAATATAAAGAGGCCAATGAGATCAGAAGACTCAGCTGAGTCTAGTGATCCCATTGTGATGTCAAATTTGTATGACTTAGCTAGTTTTGTAGTAAGTGCCATTAATATTACTTAAATAATATTTAAATTTAAAAGGAAGAAAGGGAAGGGAAAAAAAAAAAAAAAAAAAAAAAAATTTACATATATTTGATATGGAAAAATAATCTTACTTAATATGAGTAATTTTCCTTCTGTTATAAAAGTAATATAGTCTATTAAAACTAAACAATGAAAATATTTTAAAATTTTAAAGTTGTAATTTTGAATTTGTAATTAAAATTGTAGTTAAATTGAATGAATTCTAACCTAAATTTCTTTTAAATAATACTACACGCATTAAAAAGAATCCAAAAATAACACCTATAGTAAAATAAAATTAATATGAAATACCATAACATGTAAGCTTTTGAATGACCCATGTCCTCAGTACTTACATGTGAAATATTATAATAGGTTTATATATAAAAGAAAAGTTTACTGAATCAGTGAAATTAAGTAACCATTTCTGCTGTCATAGTCATATACAAAAAAAAAAAAAAAAAAAATAACCTCATATACATACTTAAACTTAATGTTAAAATAATCCTACATAATATAATGGATTCTAATACATTTAACTGTTCTTAAAAAGAATATAGTAAAATAAAAATTAAAAAGGAAAATATTTCAAATCGTAGTTAAATAAAAAGTATTGTAAAAAAAAATCTTTAATTTTAAAAGATGACGTTGAAAATTTTTTACCGTTAACAATTTTTTTTTTTTTTTTTTTTTTGAATTCAGACGACATCCATTCAACCGACGTCAGGTTTCAGTGTAAAATACATCCTCACCCCTTACCAAAATGTAGCTAATAACTGATACAATGATACTGTCATAAGGAAAATCTAGACACCCCGTGTTCAATTTGAGTAGAATATTCTGTAACCATGGAAACGTGATTTTAGCTGTGTATTTAAAACCCGGTAAATTTTAAAAGTTACTCCAAAATTCGCTTGAAGATGAAATAGAACTAATGCTTTTAATTTATTTGCAAAAATAAAATTAGGGGTTTTTAGCTTCTATTTTTGAAACATGGTTGGAACTGTGTAGCGAAAATAACCATATTATAATATATATATATATATATATATATATATATATAACAGACAACGAATGTTTATTATGTTTGATCATGGGCGTTCTTTCTGCAGTAGACTAGTAGCCATCCAAGGCTATAGAACCCAGTCTGTCCTGCTATTTTACCCATAGCCGGAGGGAGAAGAGGATTCACACCTTTCACAAGGGTGTTAGCACGTAAGTGAATGTAATGTATTCGACTGGAATTCGAACTCGGCTCTCTGATTCCTCAATCCAAGCCGCTATCCATTACTCCACCGTGCCTCTTATATATAATAATAACAGTCAACAACAAATAACAAATTAATCAATTAATAAATAAGGAGTAAAAAAGTTAACAATTAATGCTATAAAAATCGCTACCAATAGTTGCATTCTGATCCACAATTGTTTCCACTCTATAGCCTCGAGAATAATTTGAAACATAACCGCCCACCCAATAACTGTTATCAGGCTATAAGAAACCTTCTGCTCATAATGGCCATCATATATAAATTGTCGAGCTAAAACACAACACATATGGCCAGAAGATTGTCTTTAAGCATGAAACAGATATTTCATGAATTCAAGCGCCCTACGAGGCTGGAATCCCGCTCTCACCCTTTCACTGTACAAACTACTAAATGTAGCCGTCTCTTCTAGTCCAATAGCTTCATACCTCGCACTTTTCGCCTGTGGAACACCCTTCCCTATTCCTGTTTCACTGAGAGCTATAATCTCCAACTATTCAAATGTAATGTCAATCGACATCTCCAGTTACCTTGATCTATCCACTATCCCTCTCCTCATCCTTTCCTCTATAACTCCTATCTGCTCTCGCTCCAAATCTTCTGCAACCCCCTGCATCCTAGTGGCTTCACGCCTTGCTCGGGGCGTAATGCTTAATATATATAAATATGTCTTTCAAGAGCTAGTGTAGTTACAATAAAAATATAATGTAATCATTTAATTATTTATGTAATGATAAATTATACGAATCTATTGCTTTGGGTTAGTAGCTTCCCGTGGCTTATTTGGTAAGGCAAAATTGCTTTAAAAGTGGTTTTCCTGATTGGAAAAGGGATTACAAATTCACGCTAGCCGACGTATTTTCTTTAGTAGGATTTTTCATTCACTAGGCCGGGAGGCATTAGATCAAATGTAATTGATGTATATAATGATTCCCAGAAATTCAGTCAGAAATGTCTATTCGCAGAATCAATTATTTCCTTTCAGAAATAGAATTCCACTTGACCATTTTGGTAAATATCAAGTGAACATTTTCCGGAAGAATTTAGCGTATAAACTCGAGAATAGAACGATTTTTATGATCAGTTTTCAAACAAAAATAGGTGGTTGCACTATACACAGGTAATTTTTTTTTGGGGGGAAGAGGTTAAAAACTACGCATTTCCAGTGAGTGACCGGTTGCCGGTTGCTATATACTCGTACACAGGTAAATCTTTGTTTGGAGGAGATAAAATTTATACAAAAAAATTAGGGGTAGTATTATACATGGAGTCGACTTATACACGAGTATATACGGTAATTTCATTTTTCCTTCGTTATCGAACATTAGTCTGGTACGAATTCAGTCGATCAGTTCTTAATACTATTTTATTATCTTCCATCAAATAAAACCAATATAAATCTCCTTACATAAACACGAGAGCGAGGCTTGGAAATATAGCAGTAATGCTAATAGTAAAGCTAATGTTCATATTAGCTGTTTCATTATAAGGACATATTCTGCACTCATTGACCGAGCTGACAGTACGACTGGATTTACTCTCTTCTTAGCTCCCTTTATCGGGCCGGGATCAAAGTTTAGTATCTGGCTTCGGGCGAAGTACGAAAACAATAAATGAAGGATACTTCGTCCCGAGGATTCCAGACCTGCAGCACCCCCACCTTTTTGCATCAAAGAGGGAGGATTGGTGTAATATTCTTCTTCTTCTTTTTCTTCTTCTTCTTCTTCTTCTTCTTCTGTCCTTAATCCTGGAAGGAGTCGTTGGGACACTTTTCTCCTCTATCTGTCGCGGTCGTATTCCAGAGCCTGGATATTCGCGAATAGTTTTTCGGTGTGTTCGTCGTGTGGTGTATCTTGGTCGTTTTAACCTGGCGGAGCCCATCCCTCTCCAGGTTGGACCACAGCTGATGTCCTCCAACTAGGTAGCTCGCCTTGGCCGCGAACACGTCATCTGAAGAAACCTTCAGCCCAGGCCCTTCGCCCAGTACACAGGTGTTTTATCTACAAATTATATATCTAAAAAAAACAACATATGCTTACCATGACAGTATTAAATTATGTACAAAATATCAGTAGTCGAAGCTATAAAATTGCGTACAAAATACCAAATATTTAGATTTCAGCATGAAATAACCCATAGAGGTGTTGATATACCACTAAACAAAATCAAAGAAAACCAACCAAAATATTGAATATGGATTTTCGTCAGCGACAAACTTAAGTGTTTTAAGGACGTTCAGAACGTGATTTGTCAGATACATTGCTGAAAGACTGTTAAAACACTGTACCCAGCAGCTCACGGTGCTCACAGATGTTATTTGGTTTCTCGAACGAAACACTGTACCCAGCAGCTCACTGTGCTCACAGATGTTATTTTGTTTCTCGATCGAAACACTGTACCCAGCAGCTCACTGTGCTCACAGATGTTATTTTGTTTCTCGAACGAAACACTGTACCCAGCAGCTAACTGTGCTCACAGACGTTATTTGGTTTCTCGAACGAAACACTGTACCCAGCAGCTAACTGTGCTCACAGACGTTATTTGGTTTCTCGAACGAAACACTGTACCCAGCAGCTAACTGTGCTCACAGACGTTATTTGGTTTCTCGAACGAAACACTGTACCCAGCAGCTAACTGTGCTCACAGACGTTATTTGGTTTCTCGAACGAAACACTGTACCCAGCAGCTCACTGTGCTCACAGACGTTATTTGGTTTCTCGAACGAAACACTGTACCCAGCAGCTAACTGTGCTCACAGACGTTATTTGGTTTCTCGAACGAAACACTGTACCCAGCAGCTAACTGTGCTCACAGACGTTATTTGGTTTCTCGAACGAAACACTGTACCCAGCAGCTCACTGTGCTCACAGACGTTATTTGGTTTCTCGAACGAAACACTGTACCCAGCAGCTAACTGTGCTCACAGACGTTATTTGGTTTCTCTATTGAAACACTGTACCCAGCAGCTCACTGTGCTCACAGACATTATATGGTTTCTTGATCGAAACACTTTACCTAGCTCACTGTGCTCACAGATGTTATTTGGTTTCTTGATCGAAACACTGTACTCAGCAGCTCACCGTGCTCACAGATGTTATTTGCTTTCTCGAAAACGCGTTCAGTAGATATACAAAAATAGAAAGGGCTGTACGAAAAGGATGTGTCTTCTCACTGGATATATTCAACCTATACAGCGAGGCAATTCTGAGAGAATTAGAATTCCTACAAGGATTCATTATTGGCGGCCACAATCTTAACAACATAAGATATGCAGATAGCACATTGCTGATATCAGACACGGAATGGTGACTACAAAATCTCTACAGAAGATAGCGGAGGAAAGCGAGAAGAAAGGATTAAGAATAAACTACAAAAAGGCAGAATGCAGGGTCATCAGCAAAAAGACGAGCTCAAAATGCAAATTACAGATCGGGGATACTAAAATCAAGCAGGTACGCAAATTTAAATATGTGGAAAGTATTCTAACAGAGGACGGAATGTGCGACATTGAGATTCGAAGTTGTATTGGGATGGCCAAAGATGCTTTCCAAAAGCTAAGCAGAGTATTATGGAACAGGAAAATTTAGTTGGAAACAAAGAAAAGAGTACTGAATGCTGGAAAACTCCTCAAAGATGAAGAAGAAACTTGAAGCAACGTAAAAATGGTTCTACAGAAAGATGCTGAGGATACCATGAACCAAGCATGTGAGCAACAAGTTTTTAGAGAAAATTGGAACAAAAAGTTAACTTTGATCCTCAAAAATTTAAATGTAATGCCAATCGTGATCTATTGTTATTTTGATTGCTCTTCTCTTCTCTGTACTTAATAATGTTTCTCATATGGGGAAGATAACTATTGACTCTAGACTTGAAGAGGTTAAGATTATAGTGATCGGGGAAACATCCACTTACGAATCGGCTTAAAAAGCAGCGGTTCACGTAAAGAAGCAGCTGGAGAAGACTTTACATCTCACCATGAGAATACAAAGGAAATGAGGGTTGTCCACTACAATATGCGTGTCATCGCGGGACTTAAACAGCTTTTTAAACATATCATCTTAGGCGTTGCACCGATAAGCTGGTACTACAAGTTTAGTGGGTTAGAAATTCGGCTATATTTTTGTGGTGGGGATGGTGATTTTGGTGTGTGTGTGTGTGTGTTTGGGGGAGGAATAAAGAATCTATTTTGTAAACTAGAGAAATAACTATATGAATGTCTGCTACGGGGATGGTAATTAATTACTTCTGTAATTCAATCATGTTTTATTAATGCATACATATTGGGCACCCCACCTGGGTACCTCGACGGGGTGTAATGGTTAAGAAGCTTGTCTAGCTAGAACAATTATGACTGAGTAGTGCGTACGATCCTCACTAGGTGTCCGATATTTCCGGCCATGAGCCACATCTAAGCAAACCGTTGTAACGGTAGTTATTGTTTTACTCACTGGGTGCTCTAATTTTGTGCCCATGTGCCAAACAAAGGGATGGTGAGTAAATACTTATAGAGGATGGTTTGTCGTGGAGAGAGAGCAAGGGGAAACACACACACACACACACAAACTCAAACAAGAACGCACACACACACTAGAGAGAGAGAGAGAGAGAGAGAGAGAGAGAGAGAGAGAGAGAGAGTAAAAGAGAGGGGAAATAAAATATTGAAAGAGATAGTCACAAAATGAGAAAACAAAAGCGAGAAAAGAGTGAGCGAGAAAGAAAGAAAGAGAAAGGAGAGATATACTGAGCAAGAGAAACAGAGCAACAGAGATATAGGGTGAAGCCAAACAAGAGAGAGAGAGAGAGAGAGAGAGAGAGAGAGGGGGGAGAGAGATAGATAGATATAGAGAGAACATAGAAGAGAGAGAGAGAGAGGGAGAGCCAGAGGAATATATATATATATATATATATATATATATATATATAGATAGATAGATAGATAGAAAGTGATGGAGAGGGAGACAGAGAAAGAAAAAAAGAGCAACTAAGCGAGAAAGATTTAGAGAAGAGAGAGAGAGAGATCAAGAGAAAGCGGTAGATAGATGTACCAACCAAAAGAGTGAGATAGAGATAGAAAGGAGGAAAGAAACAGAGAGAGGGGGAAGTGTGTGTGTGTGTGTGTGTGAGAGAGAGAGAGAGAGAGAGAGAGAGAGAGAGAGAGAGAGAGAGAGTTAATTAATCTAAAAACCAGAAACTAGAAAATATCAATTTTAATACAAAAAAAAAGCAAAAGACAAACCTATAGTCCTTTTTAGGAAATAATAAAAACTCTTATTTGAATCAACAACAACAACAGCATCAACAACAACAACAACAACAAAACCCCAGCAAAACTGAGATATCCAAAGGCATGGCACGTGGAATTAGAACAATCTAGACCCAACTGGAAAAAGTAGAAAAAAATAAAATAAAATTAAAAAAAATATGTTTTAAATTTAAATAATTCTATGATAAATTTTTCTTTTAACACTTTTAAGACATTTATTATTTTTATCGCAACATCTCTTGACCCGAGCTGGCTAAACTTGTTTAGATTATTAAGGACCGTAAGGCATAAAAATATTCCCTGTAACACTTGTAGATTCATCCATCTGCTTCTATTATTTATTCTCCCAGCACTGAAAAATATTGGCTTATTCAAATCTATCATTAAAATTACGACTCAATTTCTGAAATATTTTTTACTAACCATTAACATTTTGAATCTGGCTTGGTTGAAGATTATACTCACGAAATTATTATAAAGTATGGCACATTTACACTATTTACATTGTTCTGACTGTTGTCCTCATCTTTGTTGTCATATTCATGACGTTTCGGCTGTTGTACGTTCCGACCTTCTTCAGGTGTTGGACTTTCGAAAAGAACCCTTTAGTTAGCCCACTTGGATAGATTGTTCTAGTTCCTTGCATCCTGCCTTTTCTGGATATTTCAGTTTAAGTTTTCTTCCCCTTTAATAACTCAATTCTTTACGTTTTTGTTCACCTCTGCTGAGGCCGGGTACTGAGTTCAAAAGTCTTTGGATCAAGCCATTGTATTATTTCAACCAAGGATTTTATCGATTGGGCCATGTGTCCTTGGGGACGTAGAACTAGAACACTCTGTCCCCGTGGACTAAATAAAGTGTTCGGTTCTCAATTCCAAAGTATATCCCTTGAAGAAGGCCGGAGCGTACAACGTCGTGAATATGACAATAAAGATGAGGACAACAGTCCGAACATCGTAAATAGTGTAAATAGTTGCAATACCTCATCTCAGAAATAGAGACAGATGTTGAAGGTGAATATGGCAATAAAGATGTGGACAACAGTCCGGACAATGTAAATAGTGTAAATAGTTACAATACCTCATCTCAGAAATAGAGACAGATGTTGACGGTGAATATGGCAATAAAGATGAGGACAACAGTCCGAACAATGTAAATAGTGTAAATAGTTACAATACCTCATCTCAGAAATAGAGACAGATGTTGAAGGTGAATATGGCAATAAAGATGAGGACAACAGTCCGAACAACGTAAATAGTGTAAATAGTTGCAATACCTCATCTCAGAAATAGAGACAGATTTTAAAGCTTGGCATATTTATAATCTTCATAAAAAATAATTAGATGTCAATTCGAATAAATATATAAGAACTATATCAATTTTAATTGAAGAGTATATTGATACGTTACTTAGAGCGGCAGCTCAAGAATCGATCTACAAATTGGAGACGTCAAATCAGGTAGAATAATCTATCATGGAAGTGTTATAATAGACGATAGAAAATAAGACACAGAAATGAGAAAGTGTTTTGGAATAGCGAAATATGTCTTCCAAAAGCTAATGAAAGTATTAAGAAATGGGAAAATTTCGTTAGCAACAAAGAACATCGTAGTGAACTGTTATGTAGTATCAGTCATACTATATGATAGGAAACATTCGGCATTCATTGACCAAAATATCAGGATACTTCAACGTGGCCTAATGTTTAGCAAGCTTGTCACGCTAGATCAGTTACGAGTAGTGAGTTCGATCCTCAATGGGTACTCAATAGTTTCAGCCGTTTGCCACATCTAGGCTATGCATAGAAATCATTTGGGCACTTCGAGGTGAAGTAATAGTTAGTTAGCTTGTCTCGCTAGATTAATTAGGACTGAATAGTGATTTGAACCTCATTGGGTCCCCCTGACGTTCGGCCTTGTGCCACATCTAAACCACGCTTATAAAACCACATTGGAACTTCGATGTGGTGCCATGGTTATCAAGTTTGTCTTGCTAGATTAATTATGACTGAGTAGTGAGTTCGATCCTCACTGGGTGCCCTATGCTTTCGGCTTTGTGCTATATCTAAGCTACGCTTAAAAAAACACCACATAGTTTTGAATAGGCACGTATCAAATACAGTCTGATGTATGGATTCAAAAAAGGGCTCTTCAGCAACGGAAGCGGCTAGAAATATTCGATCTATTTATGGAAATGAAGCTTTCAGCCTCCGGATATAGCGACGTTGTTTGGCCAGTTTCAATCGGGAAAATTTTCCTTTCCAAGATTACCCTCGATCTGGTCAATCAAATTCTGTCCAGACTGAGTTTCTACCTACCGTAGCTGAAGAAAATTCAAAGCAAACAGTATGTAAACTAGCAAAACCGTTCAAGAAACGTCACATTTTCATCATAAAACACCTTCATAAACTCGGAAAAGTACATAAAATTGGTCAATGAGTCCCTCATCATTTGACAGCTTCTCAGCTTAATCAAAGAAATTCTTTCCTCTTGTCATTGGAGTGTCGACATACTACCGAACCTTTCTTAAGTAGAATCATCCTTAGTGGGGAAAAGTGGTTTATTTATAAGCATATCCAACGAAAACGACAATAGAAAAGTATCTAAACTTGTCTAATGGGTCCTTCATCATCTGATTGATTCTTTACTTTATCAAAGAAATGCTCTCCTTTTGTCATTGGAGAGTCGACATGCTACTGAACCTTTCTTAAGTAGAATCATCCTTAGTGATGAACAGTGGATTCACTATAATCATATCCAATGAAAACGACAATAGAAAAGTGTTTAAACTTGGCTAATGGGTCCTTTATCATCTGACTGATTCTCAGCTTAATCAAACTGTTACCTTTTATTTGTCATTGAA